CAAGGAGGAATGATCAACATGGACCAGGGATACGTGGCAATAGGACATCAACATTCAAGCCCACTTCTGATGCCCCCAAGGGCAAGTGGGTGAGGCCAGTTGAGAAAAGAGAGAATGTCCAGAAAAAGTGGCAAAATTTTGAAGTCTAAAGAGGATCTTCGATAGCATACCAGAGAGAGTTCCAAACTTTTAAGCAATCAGCTTAGAGTTCAGAAAATTAAAAAGGGAACAACCCAATGACGAGATCTCAGTGGAGACGTCAATAAAGGAGGCTCAAGGCCAAGAGGGAAGCTGCAGAAAAAGAGAATGATGAGTCTAGTAGCAACGTACAAACCAAAAAGGGTAACAATAAAGGAAGAAAACCTGTCGAGAAGAAAGTTATTCATAGACCAGCAAGAAGATATAAAGGAGAAGGCTGAGCATATGCCTGCAGATGATGAAATAATGACAGATGATCTGAAATGTCGTATCATTGTTACCCAGAAAGTATGATAGGGTGATAGAATTGGAAGACCCAGAGGATGAGTTCGAACAAGAAGTGGCAAGTCAAAGGCCAGTATGTTACTACATTTTAAATAATGGTTATGTCGAGGAGCAGAGTGCGCTCTTTGAAAGGCTAGATGATGCAATGAAAAACCACCTTAAGCCTCTATTCATTAGAGGAAAGGTAGAAAACATTGGTATCAATAAGATACTAGTGGATGGAAGAGCGACAATGAACCTAATGTCGCATTATATGTTAAAAAGGATTGGCAAGAGTGACTCCGGCACGAAGCCTCATAATATGGTACTTTCAAATTACAAAGGGAAGGTGGGGGCAACCATGGGAGTCATTCAGGTAAACTTGACCGTTGGCACAATTACTAGGCCAACGATGTTGATGGTAATTGCATCTAAGATGAATTACAATCTACTCCTTGGAAGGGAGTGGATACATGGAATAGGTGCATTACCTTCGTCACTTCGCCAAAGGATATCCATCTGAATGAGTGATGGAATTTTCAAAAATATCGAGGCAGACCAAAGCTATTACATGGCTGAGGTTAACCAAATAAGGGGGCGACACTTTGGTAAGAACTTAGCACACATAGCGCCATATAACCCAGCAGGTTTCGATTTTACACCTGTAAATAACGCCTTCTGTTTGTTGTATCTGCATCACAAGCACTGGAAAAGCCATGATAGGCGAAGAAGATTTCGTCTTTAGAATAGATGGAATCCAACCTACGGGTTGGGGTAGTGAATTCAGTGACTATGACTGAATCACAAGCACTGAAAAAGATTTCTGCTTATATAGCTTAAAATATATTAAAAGCGGCTTTAGAGGCTGATATAAAATACATGGTTATCAAAGCCAAAGTTAAAGAAAAACACTTCGAACGTCCAGGGAAGGATTTCGACCCAGAGCCACCCGACAAAGATCGAGTCGAAGTGCAAAGTCAAAGGCTAGATGCCATCTACGATGATGAGCCTTTGGGTTTTTAGAATGATCTGCTAGCAACTAGTATCAAAGTGTTGGCACAAGATCCTTTGGAAGAAGTCGACCTGGGAGAAGGGATAACAAAAAAGGCCAACCTACATCAGCATCAACATTGAACCAAAGCTCAGATTCGAAGTAATCCAACTACTGAAGGAGTTCAGAGACTGCTTCGTGTGGGATTACGACGAAATGGCTGGTTTGAGTAGAGAGTTGGTCGAACTGAGATTGCTGATAAAGCCTGGGAAGAAGCCCATCAAGCAGACTCTAAGGCGCTTTGCACCCAAGGTTCTCTCGAAAATTAAAGAGAAGGTCGAAAGACTTATGAGGTGAAAATTCATTTGTACGACCAGGTATGTCGAATGGATTGCTAATGTGGTTCCAGTTCTTAAGAAAAACGGAACTTTAAGGGTTTGTATAGATTTTAGAGATCTAAATGTTGCAACTCCAAAAGATAAGTATCCAATGTCTGTGGTGGAAATGCTAGTAGACTCTGCTACAGGCTGTGAGTATCTAAGTATGTTCGACGAATATTCTGGATATAATCAGATTTTTATTGCTGAAGAGGATGTGTCAAAAACAACATTTCGATGCCCTAGAGCCTTATGCAATTTCGAATGGGTAGTAATGCCCTTTGACCTAAAAAATGTTGGACAAATTATCAAAGAGAAATGAATTTGATTTTTCATGACTTCATTGAGACTTTCATGCAGATTTATATTGAATATATTGTAGTCAAGTCAGTTTCAGGAAGAAGTCATATAGACCATCTTGGACAATCATTTGAAAGAATGAGGAAGCATGGTCTCAATATGAATCCTCTCAAGTGTGCTTTTTATGTGAAGGCGAGGGATTTCTTAGGCTTCATGGTCCATAAAAAAGGAATAGAGATTAATCAGAACAAGACCAAGGCCATCATGGAGGAGAAAGCGCCTTCGACAAAGAAGTAGTTGTAGTCTTTGCTAGGGAAGATCAATTTCCTAAGGAGATTCATTTCAAATCTAAGTGGCAAGACTCAAGCCTTCTCACCTCTACTTTGAATCAAGCAAGAAGGTTTTGAGTGAGGGCAAGTGCAACAAGAAGCATTCGACAAGATTAAAGAATACTTTGCTCACCCTCTGATTCTGGCACCTCCTTGTAGAAATAAGAGTATGAGATTGTACATAGCTGCGTCAGACAAGACTTTAGGGAGCATGTTATCTCAAGAGGATGAAAATGGCATAAAGAGCCATTTATTACCTTAGTAGAGTCTTGAATGATGCAGAGACTAGATATAGTATAGTTGAAAAGTTGTGTCTTTGTCTATACTTTTCTTGTACAAAATTAAAGCATTATATAAAACCAGTCGAAGTTTATGTTTCTTCTCGTTTCGATGTTATTAAATATATGCTTTCTAAACCTATTTTGTACAGTCGAATTGGTAAATGAGAATTAACATTAACAGAATATTCTTTAACTTATATGCCTCTAAAGGTTGTTAAAGGACAAGTGGTGGCCGACTTTATAGTCGACCACTCTATAATCGAAAAATCCTTAAACTCTGTGGAGCTTGAACCATGAAGTTATACTTTGATGGTTCTAGTCATAAGGGTGGAACGTGAGTAGGATTATTGATTATTTCTCCTAATAAAATTCTAACAAAATTCAAGTATAAGGTCGAAGGCCTTTGTTCAAACAACGAAGTTGAATATGAAGCTTTAATTGTTGGATTTGAAATATTGTTGGAATTAGGGGCAACTCGATTCGAAATAATGGGAGACTCAGAGTTGGTGTCATACCCTAATTTTTTACACTAAGATCTCACATCATTTGCATTTCATTAGCATCATACATGTGTATACCTTTTGTGCATCACTAACACATTTTGATATACAAAGATTGTTGTTTGTTTCATTTGATCACCAATTAGGATTTTGAGCCTCAAAAGAGATCTCATCCATCAAGAGCTAAGCACAAGTCTACATCCTTTCAAGTCAATCAAGCCCCAAGTTCATTTGGTGCACCAATTAGGGTTTTGGTTGATCTGACCCTCCAAAGTGAAATTTTCATCTGTACATGATTCAATACCTCAATATGTGTTTCAAAGACCTTAAATGCCTCACATTGGTCCATTCATATGATTGAATTGATCCAAAGAAATTGATTCATGAGCAAGGAAAGAATTGAAATTCATCTGGACCACAAACTAAGGTTTATGACGAAAAGTCAACTGTATCTTTGATTTTTGACTAAGACATGATCTCAAACCTTGGGACATGATTCAAGACACTCAAAAACACCCTTAAAGATCATCCATGATGTTCAAATAGACCAAGGGTTTAATTTTATAAAGGATCACAAAAGTTCAAAATTCATTTGATACAAAAAGTCAACTGTGCCCAAAATCAAGTCTGACTTTTAAAGTTTTTGGTCAACCATGGCTTCTTCAAGTCAAGAATGACGTTAATATGTGATTTGAATCATGATTGATCAAGAAAAATCAAGAAAAATGAGATTACTCGTAAAAAGGGCAACCATAAAGAAGTGAAATTTTTCGAAGTTATGAAGAAAACCCTAATTTGGAGCAAACTTTGCAAGATCATAACTTTCAAACCAAGCAACCATTTTCTTTGATCCAAAGACCAAATTGAAGAACTTGTTACAAACTACAACTTTGTCACTTATGGTGGATTCCCAAAAAAATGCTTAAATTTTGAGATATGAAGCCATGAAGTATGATTTCAAAACTTTTTGAACTTTGACACTTAATAAAATTTTGGACAGAATCTGTTGTGTTTTAGCCAACTTTGAGGTCATTTTTCTCCAAGATCCAAGATGAATCAAAACCAAATGCATACATCAAAGTTGAAGTACAATATACCAGTTTTCCAAAATGTCCAAGAACATCATCTAATTCCATTTGAGCAGGGAGATATGAAGTGTACAATACACCGAATACACCGTGCTACAACTGTTTTACAAAATTAGATTTGGCATTTTCTTGCAATACACGATTTTGGAGTCAAGTGCAATGATCATGATCTTACCAATTCAACAAAGATCAGAGTGAATCATAACAAACCTGCAAGATAGAGCCAAAGAGTCAAGAAGAATCTCATTGAAATAATAGAAGGCAACACATTTGCATAGACCTTGTGGTGAAAAAACAACCCATGAATGGATAAGAGTGTTCATTATTATAAATAACGAACTTGTCCTCCATATTAACAATTTGTCACTTCTAGCACGCAGCTAGAAGGTAATTAACCATGCATTAAGCTATAACTCAGATCTAATACATAAAAGAATACATTTTGGGATGTTATTTTTTATATCATTAGCAAAAAAAATACACCCCCTGATCCTATTTATAAGAAACAGTTCACTTAAGATTCATTGAATATGATCAGCTTGAATAATCAGACAATTTAAAAAGCCTGTATCAGCTGATTATGGAAAATTGGCACCAAGAAATAAAATCCATATATGTGTAGCAAATGCTCAATTATACAAATCCCTGCAAAAAAGGGAAGGAAGTGAAAAACTAGATGAGAGCTTGTATGCCTTGCTGCTGCATCTCTCTTAGTCTCCACATTAGATAAATCGCATCCTCGCCGTGATCTTCTCGGTCCATTTGTTGCAAAGCCCATAGATAGTATACCATGTGGATTGTATCCTAGCAAAAAAAATAACATAATGGACCCAAGTTAAATTAAGATTATGGGAAAAGATGACAAAAGGTTTATCTTAAGTTCACAAATTTTGATTTTGTTTACAATGTAAAATAAAAATATGAAGAGTAAAAAACACAGCATTCACCTTGCCTCCTTCTGTTATTGCCCCATTCTTATCTCGTACGCAATATATTTGCTGTGTCTGAAACTGAAAACTCATTGAACAAAACCATTAGGATAAGTTTTTTTTTTCTTCTACTGCATAAGAACAAATTTCGCATGCTAGCAATGAACTTCTGAAAGTAATGATTTGCAATACCACTATAATAATGACAGGGGATGATTCCAACATCTTGGTTTCTCTTACTTCCACATCGGAAATATGCAGGATCTGTATATGGAGAGTTCAATGTTAAAAACAAACAACATCATAATAGATACAATTATCCTCTAAAGTACACCTTAATCAAGCCTTGACTATAGTGTCCGATAAATAAATTGTGTGTGTGTGTGTGTATCGTTCATCATGATAGAATCTTGGGAAGATTGAAACATAAATTATAATCCCACCTTGTTATCAAAGAAGATACCATGACTTTTATAAGCACTATGCTCTGCTTTACAACGTTCAATTAGCTGAGGGCTACAGTACTTCTTCAGTGTTTCAACGTCTCCCTGTATGTTTACAAAAGCCAATTCATAAATCATAGATGCATCAGCGCAAACAGCAAATAAATTTAATGAAAAACTTACTCTTACTACTACTTTAACTTCATCCCTTAAATCATAGGGAGCATTTTTAACGATTTTTCTATTCCTATTCAGAGTCCTATATCACTAACCTTGGATGCATCTTTAAAATAAAGTGCATAATACATATGCTATATTTTTCATTTAAGTTTTCGTTAAAACTACTCTGTAACACTGATTATTTCTCTGGTAGAGTTACGTATCAATATAATTCAATTTTTATATTCCTAAACAGAGTCATATATCACTAACCTTGATGTAAGCATTAAGCACTGGTTTTATGGCCTCCTGTACTTCTCCCACAAACTCCGTTAAGGAAAAAGAACTGGCTTGCGTGATCAAAATGAAAGAAAATGGTGTTAGCAAGTAAAATAATATTGAAATGTTAAGACCAAGAAAACACAAAAGGAATCAGAACCTACGGATCCCGTTGACGTATTTCTTTATATGAAAGTGCAGCATCAGTCTCTTGAAACATGGTATCGTTGATGCTGTAAAAGAAGTATGGTGAATCAGCACCTATGAAGCCATTTACTTAATATTACACAAGTATGAAACAAATACGGCCTAGATATGTTGATACGATTTAATAAAATAATATACATGCTTTGCATGAATGTAATATTTATGAAGCAATATTGATATATATTAATATATAATAACAATATAGTAGATGATGATCACAATTTAGAAAACGATACTTGCAATCATAACAGAAAAACAGACACATCTTTTTCTTTTCTGCATCAAAATATACTCTTTTCCTTGTAAACAAACATGCTGCAACTGTATTGTTTCCATGACTAGTGTTAGAATGTCACAAAAAGTATTGACTCAACCCAATTGCTTCCTGTTAACTTTCTGGTGCTTAAGATATCATTTCTATCTATCATATTCTCATTATCTAGGAAACGTAGCTTTCATCAAGAGATAACATGTCTACCAATTCAAGAAACCCACCACCACAATCAAGTGGATTGTGTACATCATCTCGAATGTGCAAGGAGTCAGTACACCAATCTACACACAACATAATTAAGAATAAGGATGGACACACGGCTAGAAGCCAAGTTTTTGTAAGTTATATCTTAGAGTACTGCCGATATGTATCCCAATCTATGAAGCACCAATACTTCATATTGAACTGAACTTACTGAAGGCGTGTACGGGGGGGTCCAACACGTGCAACAAGAACACTAACATGACACCAACACGTGGTTACAACCAATCATTTCATATTCTCAAATTATTACCAGTTTCAATGTTGTGTATTTATTAGTGCTTCACAAATCCCAAATGTATCGTCAATCAATATTTTCTTTAAAAATTAAAAAAAAAAATTGAGGATACTCAAGGATACATAAATAGAATATTCATATTATTATTGATACTAGATATGGGTATGAAACCGATACTTAAGCAATTTTGGAGTAAATGGTTTTAATAGATTAACACTGTAATTCACATCATATGTTACAGATATTTATATTATAACCAGACAAATATTGTACTAACCATATTTACATTCATCAATCACCTGTAATTCTAAGAACAAGGATAAACTGAGAAACTTACTCCTGTATTTTGTGAATAATGGGGTTGTCACTTGTGTCATATCTTTCCCGCAAATCCTCTACTATCTGTCAATTTCATTAGACATGTAAAATACCAAGCCAATAAAAAGTGATTCGGAAGTCACGTGAAAAATTAATTTTCTCTATTCACGGTCATGGATCAGCACACTAGTCATGGCTCTTTGTTACATTAGAATAAAAACCTCAGGAGTATAACATACCTCCTGGCTCTTTGTCTTCACTGGGTCAGTATACTTAATGAATCGCTTGAATGCAGGAAAGCTTTTCACCTAAATGAAAAGATAGAGAAGATATCTTAATTGAAAGATATTGTAGGCAATCGAATATCGAAAGAATTGTAATGCAGTTACCTTATCCTTGATCTCGCCAAACTTCTTACTCCACCCAGATTGGGTAGAGGGCGTAACAACAAGATCAGTTTTTGTGCTTGTTTCGCCACTAAAAGTAGATCGAACATGCCGTCTCTTAGTTGGGTTACTACTCAATTCCTCCTTTAGTATGTCATAACCTTTCTTGGTTATGTCCACAATTTTTGCATCCTTTAATTTTTGAAAGGAAGTGGAAACATTTGGAGACGAAAAGGTTGACTTAAATTTGCCAAACAATGACTCTGAAGCATTATCAGGCGTAAATTGCTGTGTTTTCTCTTCCTCGTGTGATGTCTGACTTCCTTGCTCTGCATCAGTGTCCTGTTTTGTTGAAGAATCAGTTGATCCTGAAGAGTCCTGCTTTCCTATCCCAGGAGTTTCTTTCACCTAATTTAAAATGAGTAATATCAGTAAGTCGTCATTGTGGATCACGTTTCGCTAAAGATTTGTAAATCAGACCTTTTCAGTTGCAGCTGAAATTTTCTCTTTAACATTGTAAGAAACCTGCAAAAAGTAAAATTACTAATCAAATCCCAAGAAACGTGTCAAGTTATGCACAATAGATTACGGGATACCAAGTTCCCAACCAAAAGTTCAATAACAAGGCAATATAGAAGAATCAAAAGCTTTAGCCACACAAACAAACAATAACATAAATAAGTTCCAAAGGTATACCTGTGTTACTAGTATCTTACCATATATATAAAAAAATCTCATTTTGATACAAAACTTAATCCAATTGAAACAAATACCAATGAATGAACATGTATCACAACCTATAGCCAGCCACTTCTCTTTCATCATTTAATTTTATGACTTGAATCGTGAACTATCTTGAGATTATATAGTTCTTATTTTCATTATACCTTTTTTGCAGCAGCTTCAGCTTCTGTCCACACGCCGTCTGCTTGTTTGTACAGCTGCTCAAATGTCTGCTTTGTTCTGCATTCGCCAGTCAACCATCTCAGGCACTCCTTTTAAGTGTCGAGCTAGCCTTGACATACAATGGTATGTCTCAGCCTATTAATGAATAACTTAAAAAGTTTTATGTTACATTATGGTCACAACAAAAGAAAACTTACTTTTCTTTCAGACCTTCTTTTACCCCTTTCAATTCTTCTGCTTTTTCCTTCAGCTCCTTCACAGACTGTTGGAATTCTGGGTTTCTGCAACCACCAACAACAAGAATCAAATAGGGCAGACAGTAAAATCTATAAGTGGGAGGAAAGAATACCCAAGAGACAATCATCATAGCGAGTTTTTTTTATGTTCGAGCATGAAAGGTTAGATATATTCCTTCATTTGTTTCAGGAAGGTGATTTAAATGCCTAGCTAGTCTCATAACTCAATTAAAGGGTTTCATTGTATACATGTATCATCCCTATTGTCTAATAAAAACTACGGAGAAAGTAGATGGAACAAATTAAATGATAAATAAGAATACAACAACAACCAAGCTATGTTCTATCCAAGACTATATGGATCAAATTACGTCATAATGTTCTACTCAAGGCCATGTTTCTATCCAATTCGTTAATCTCGAGATCTTTCTTAATAGTTTCTCTTATAGTTTTTTTAGGTCTTCCTCTACCTCTAGTTGTTTGACTCCTTTCCGTCTGATCTACTCTCTCTTACAACAGAATCTACAGGTCTTCTTTCTACATGCTCAAACTTCCTAGGTCTATTTTCCATCACCTTCTACTATAGGTGCTACCCCACCTAAGAATAAGGGAACAATATCATTTCCAATTGTGAATATTCAAAACCCAAACTGTTTTACTCCATAAAATATCTCAAGCATGTACTTTTATTTCTCTTTTTTCCAAATAATCATCACCCATCATCTGCATCACGCCTAAATTTTATAGTGGCACTATAACACAGATGCATAGAAGAATTCAAACATACCGCTATTTTTGGTGATTGCCACCAATAGAACTTCTGAAATAGTGTACCGTGAATGTACCACGGGATCACAACTAGCATGAGAACATAAGGTGAGATCATAAAAGACCTTCCTACACTAAAACTTGATAATTTTATTGGTTCGGCTTTGAGTTGGATGTCTTTATTCTATTTAGTGTTACCAAGAATAACAGCTTACCATTAAAATATAAGATGATGTTTACATACAATTTTCTGAATTATGCTGCTTGAACCTACAAATTGTGGTACTCGAAGTCGAAATATGACTGATAGTCCCACAAAAAGATCAATTTTATGAATGAACGGAGAGTTGCGATTAATTTTTAAAAACTATGATTTTATTTCTGGTTTACTGAGATTTTTGCCATGTTAGATGCAACAATCTCTTTGTATAGATCTATGCTCTCTAAACTCTATCATCTTTTCAGACCTTTTTTCTTGTTGAGTGTGTTTGCCCCTTTAACTAATAGATTAAGGTATGGTTGCTGAAAAGGAATCATCAGTCTTGAATCATGTCATGCAGCTCTTAGTGTTCTGTATGGAGAAGTTATATACCCCAATGGCTACGTAAATTACGACCAGGAACATGTTCGAATGTATTTCAAAATACATAGGTGGTTGTTTAACTTTATTAGAGATGAATAAGACATTAAACTACTAGATTATGACAAAAACACTATTATGTGTTAAAACATGACCCTGTTATATTGGTAATGGTAAATTACGCTCCCCTCTCAAACTATCAACATAATAAATTATTCTTAAACAATTTTATGAATGAACCTAGAGTTCTAACAATGGGATAAGAATTTAATATGTTGATAGTTGCAAGGGCAACATGAAGTTGAATCCCGAGACAGAAGACATGTTATATGAGTATTCCCCCTCGATACATCTTCTATGTCATCACATAGGCAGCACGCAGGATACATTGTACCTAACTAAATGTCCAAAGTCATTTTATTAAAAATAAATAACTAAATCTCTAAAGCGAAATATATTAAGAGACTTACTTAATTAGTAAAATTTAACCTATGAAGCATTAACACCAAATACGATACGGACACTTAGACACCACACTGCAAATGTAAAAAATTTAGGAGAATGAAAAAGGGAAATAAAGAAAATTATAGATGAAGATGTGTGTACAATGTACATCAGCCGAAATTTTTCAAATATCTCATGAAAATATGATTATACTACTTTTAAAAGGATATTAGTTTCTGTCTTTTTGTATAAAAAGTGAAGACATGTCTGTTTTCACGCTAGCCATGTCCAATGGGAATAGATATGTCAAAGCAAAGGGGGAAAAAGTGTATCTGCTAGTATTGTCAAATAGCAATTATAGCGTTATCAGAGTTATAATTCCAAATAGCGGAGCGGAGCGGCCGACCTCAAAAATAGAATAGCAGGATAGTGGACAGCGGGATAACTGCTATTTGTCTATATTTTAAACTAACTATACAAATAATCTATACAAACATAATGTAAAACCAAACAAATAAAAGAGGAAGAAGAGGAATAAATTTATTAAATGACTATTACTACACAGAGGTACTGAATAACAGCTGTAAAATCAAACCAAGTTTATTTATTTTAAGGGTAAATCTGAGTTTTCGCATTCAAAACAATTCAAACCCGCTCGGATTGGGAAGCGCTCCGCTCCGCTCCTGCTACCCGCCAAACATCAAATAGCGGAGGGCCACCGCTCTGGGCCGCTATCCCGGGATAGCCCCACTATTGGCCGCTAACTCTGAGTGTTATTGCATAGCGGAACTTGAACAAGTCATTACTGTTCCGTGATACACCATTTAGTACAAAGTATTATCATGTAGTAGCTATTGCGGCACTATAGCCCTTTAGCATAGCAGAATTTGAACATCGTGCTATTTTTTGTGATCTGCAATTCACAACATTGTCCCGCAATAGATATAAACCCAACCCTTTATGCACTTCATAGAAATTTACATGCCCGGTTAATAAGTTCATTTGAATTTTTAAACCAAGTTCACACAATTTACTAACCTAGCTATAAAAACCTAATGTAACTTCATAACTTATAAATGAAATCTAAAAATTTAAACAAACTAAAACTAAAATTAAAATGCCCAGTCTTCAAACTCACATGAGTTAATCACTTAATTTGATTCTTAACCAAACCCATACAATTTACTAACCTAGCTATAAAAACCTAAGTGTAATTTCATAACAATGTGAAAATGAAATTAAAAAAAAAGTTAAGAGAAAGAGTGAAAGTAATATACCTAACAGTTTCATCTTTAACCTTCTTAGAGAACTCATTGAAGACACTGTATCCACGTCTATCAGCCGAATTCAAAAACAACCTTGTTTTCACACCCTGTTACATCAACAAAAATAATTAAAAATGGAGAAAATTGAATTCAAGAAAAACCAAAAAGGATGCAGATATGAACTTGGTGTGGAAGAACAAGAGATCGTTGTGATCGTTGTGAGAGTAAGAAATCAAGAATCAGCTTTCTTGAGGCCATATTTGAAGTTTCGAATAACGGTTTCTCTCTCTAGTTTCTCTCTCTATGGGTATGAATTTGTTGTTACTGTTAGGTACTGCTGGGTGTGTGTATTTATTGAAGTGGTTTGTTCTTGGAGACGAAGAAATGAAGGGAAAGAAGATTCTAACGGTGGTGCAGCTGCTGCTGCAAATTATACGAGCGAGCCTCGCAGTGAGATATATTTTTATTTTATTTTATTTTTCTCTTTTTTCTTTTTGCGTCTTTGTGGTTTGGGCTAGGGTTACTCTTGACCCGTACTCATCCGGCCCAACTTTGATTTTTATTGGAAGAGTATTCTATATGGAGTCCTCACCACCGTCATAATTAAAATGTTAAGATGTAACTAATATGACTAGACATTTAAAACAAAGAATTAGGGTTTTCATGAGAATTTAACTAAAGAATCAAGATCAATCATCAATTTGTTATGTTCAAAATCCACAATGTCAAGATGAAGCATCATGACCATGACGATAAGCTTGCAAATCATATTTTATTGCCTTGTATCTTAAATAACAAAGAACTTTTGAACCAATTATGTTATTTAAAAAATACAACGGTAAATGAATGTATAATAATGGATGATTATGACATGTGAATATGAGATAAAATAAGGATCACGAGTCAGATAAAAATAAAAATAAAAGTAGAATAAATTTTGAAGTATGATAATTATGAATTATTATTATTGTTATTAATAATTATTATTACTATTATTATCATTTATTTTGTTTGTTAGTATTGTTATTATTATTTAGTGATTAAATTGATTATTTTAAATTGTTAAAAAGAAATTTTGATTAATTGTTCCATCGATTTTCAAAACGCATTGCAATTTCGGAGTTAAAAATTCAATTTAACTTTAAAAATTGCTTGAACGCATAGAGTTTATTGATCGACTTCTTATAGAGTGATTTATACATGAATTACTTTAAATTAGTTTAACATAATGATAAATTCAATATTTTTATTGTTAGTTTAGTTTATCTTTAAAAATGTAGTTTAAATCATCAAATTGTTGGATTTTCTTTAAGTACATTGCAATTTCAGAGTTAAGGTCAATTTAACTTCAGAAACTGCTTGAACGCATAGAGTTTATTGATTGCCTTCTTATAGAGTGATTCCTACATGAATTAAATTAAATTAGTTTAACATATCACTAAATTTAATAGTTTAAAACTCTGATTTATTTCTGGTCCCTTGACTTTTTCTTGGACCTTCACAATGAAATTGTTGTCTATTTACATTTGTTTATTGAACGTGTATTGTTAATTGTTGTATTGTATCTCCATTCGACAAATTATACCCTCATTCATGTAATGTATAATAAGTTTACCGAGTTACTTTATTGCTATTGTGTTAATTGATTGTTAACTCATGATTAAAATCAACCACTTTCAGAAAAAATAACAAAAATAAATACTTGATACAACGTCGAACAATTTTCCCAAATCAAAACTACTTCCACTACCCTAACTTCTTAGTCATTTCATCATGTTTCAATTCAACGCAAACATAAAAACCCTGATCAACATCGAGCTTTTTTCTCAATTTAAGGTCAAAATACATAATCATACTTAAAACACCATTTCAAAAAGGGTGAAAAAGGAGATGGTTTAGAGTCTTCGATTACTCTCCTCGATTATTTGGATATGAGTTGCGTTACTCGATCATTCAAACAATTGTCATCCGTTAAAAACTTCTAATCTGATTCGCTTCAAATCACTTTAATAATCAAAACTTAAGTCAAACTCATTTTCATAATAACTTGGACAAAAAAAGAGGTGTTCTAGAGCCTTATATTTCCTTCCTTGGGTATTTGAATATGAGTAGCCTTATTCGGTCATTCGAGTATTTGTCGTTCGTCTAAAATACATTAACCTTATCTAAGTCCTTTTACAATTAAGGATGAAAAGAGAGATGGTCTAGAGCCTTTTATTCCTCTTCTAAATTATTTGAATACGAGTTATCTTACTCAACCATTCGAGTAATCGTCATTCAGCAAAACACTTAATCAACCAAACTTATTTTTTGCCCTTGCGTGACTCCGAAAACATTTTCAGAAACGAGTATGCATTATCCATATCAACGTGAAACAAACAAAGACTTATGTCTCCAAGAGTGAGCAACAAGTAAAGCTTTAGTCACTCAATATGTCTAAAAGATTACTCCTTAAAAATGATCAACCCAGTTGTTCTTTGTAAGTAGAACTATGTAGCCTTAAGTTATTCATAACACCCGGAGATATGTAGGAGCGAGATGTTGAAATCTTGTCATGCACATTAATGTTAAAAATTATTCTTTCTTTCTTTTTCTCGCTCATTAAGTCGAAGTAAACAATTAACATAAGCTAACATTTAATCACAAATCTAACTAAGAGGTTCTCGTTTAGTATAATAGACGTAAGGGGTGTTAATATCTTCCCCTTGCATAATCGACTCACGAACTTGAATTTGGTTGTGACAGCCATTATCTTTTTCTTTTAAGAGTTTTTTTTTCCATATTTTCTCTTTCTCTTTTCGGGAATAAATAAAATTTGGTGGCGACTTTGTTCGAACATTTTTTTCGCGAGCATGCAAACGTTTCACAAAGGATCGCATTATTTGAGATGTGACAATACTGAGGAGAGACAAATATTTGAAAAATAAAGAAATTTGATAGACTCAAGATAGATTTATTCAAGGCATGAATTGTGTACTTAGAGAAATTCATGCAAAAATGACATGTTTCATGCAAGAGTAGATAAATAACATGCTCAATCTTTAATAACAATAAAAATACTAATAACATGAAAATGTATCGTATATTTCGAATTGATTCACATGTTATTTAGTGTCTTTTTATTATGTTTTTGTAGTATTATGTCGTATTATGTTTGTTTTCAGGTAAGTAGCCAAATGATAGTCGTTCACAAAGAAACGAATCAAAACAAAAGAAAAAGAAACAGTTTTGGGTGAAAATTACACACACGGCGTTCCACATGGCATTGGCCATGGGGGTAGCCATGACGTGTAGGGTTTCTCCCACGTTCTAACCGTTACAAGACCATGTCCACCATCTTTTATACACATGACGGACGCTGTGTCTAGATGGCGGGCGCCATCTTTGATTTTGGTGGTGCATTCAAAGGCAGTTGAAGAATGAAGCCCATGACTACCACTTTTCTCTCCCACAAATTTTGAAGCTTCTACTTGGCTTCCAAGGTATCTTACTAGTATAAATAGGACTTAGTTTTCATACTTTGGATCATTCAGTCTTAGTTTTCAGCATAGGCATATATTTAGAGTTAAAGCGATAAATCATCACATCGAAGGTTTATCACATCATTGTTGTAACTGAGGTTTGATCATCGTAGCATATGAACTTTAATCTTGCCGTCATTTTACTTTCAAGTCAGATTTACTTTCTTGCACTGTATCAGATTCAAGTCTCCAATTTAGAGCAGGTTCTAATTTAGTCGCACTTATTTATTTATCCCCTTTTATTTCATAGATTTGTTTCAAAAAGAGAACCAAAGAGTGACACTTCGGTTCTTACCTTTGGAAACTGATCACACACTTATTTATTTATCGCCTTTTATTTTATAGATCTGTTTCTAAAAGAGAACCTAAGAGTGACACTTCGGTTCTTACCTTTGGAAACCGATCACGCGTTTTATTTCTGCACAATTTACTTATCACTTTTTATTTCGAAGATTTATTCTCTAAGAGTGAACTTAAGCGTGACACTTTCGTTCATACTTTTGGGAATCAATCACGCCTTTATCTTTCTGCACGATTTAATTATTGTCTTTTATTTTCAAGATTTTTTTCTAAGAGTGAACTCAAGTGTGACACTTTTGTTCGTCTGAAAACTAATCACGCATTTATTTTAACGCACGATTTACATATTGCTTTTATTTCCAAGATTCGTTTTCCAAACTAAACCTAAGGGTGACACTTCCATTCATTTGAAAACCAATCACGCATGTTTTATTTCCCTAAATTATTTATTCTACAAGCAAATTATTTACTATGTTTAGCACCGTCATGTCCAGCTAAATCTGTTGTGCTGTGATGTGAGGATCTTCGTTTCGATGGTACTCCATATATTGTATTTGTAGAAAGACTTTAGGGGCTATTTTGGATTTTAATACAACTTTTCTAAACTTAAATTGATCGGTTATTACGTGAACGGGACCGTGTTTCTGTTTGCGTAATGACCGTGACTATGTCGGGTAAGATCAAAAGTCGTCCGACACTTTAGATAAGAATTGGTTAGTTTTTAATTCATAAAAACAGCGAAAGCGCTTTATTAATTAATTAGGAAAGTTTGGTATTATTAGAAAGTGATTTTAAAAATAGTTTCGGGCGTTTATAGATTTAGGATCCGGTATGCCGAGCATATGCTGGAAACCCTTTTGATATTAAAAGTTTCCAATCAAAGACACCTTTTAATTGAGTCTTAGAGGTATTAATATAAAAAAGGACTTAGTCACTTTAACCAAGATGCGACCGGTGCAGCGTGAGCAGCTAGTATAGATTAAAGGTCAGTGTCGCAACTGTGAAAAGGGCCGGCGGAAACAAACAGAAGAGTCGCCATTGAATGTTATTTATCCCAAAGAGAGGGAAAGGAAACAATCAAAGAAAACCTAAAAGAACGAGAAAGCCAAGGTCATCGCAACCAAATCTTGGGTTCGGGAGTCGGTTACGCAAGGGGAAGGTATGAGCACCCCTCACGTCCGTTATACTCAACGGGATCCATGCTTGTTGTCTAATTTATGGATGAAAGTTATCTAAAAGCTACTGCTAAACGGGGGTGAAGAGAAAAGAACAGACTCGATAGGACATCGTCGCCCTATGCCTACGTATTCCTCGTGCAATGGGAAAGTCAAAGTCAACGTAGTTCAGAAAACTACGGGTGATGGGGGGAAGGTTGCTCGCCAAGACATCATCGTCTTGTGCCTACATATCCTCATCTGGTATGATAAATCAGAGCAA